TTATAAAGAATATCTCTTTGGGTTTGAGACTTTAGTCTTTGCAACTTTAGGGATCTTATCTATTCACAAACCGCTTGTAACACTCCAAAGAGAAAGGAAAACTTGAAATCGCATCATATGACCCCTTTAAAATTTGTTGGCTTTGTTACAAAGTAGAGCTTTTTTTCGAAAAATTGATTTTTCGATTAATCGTTTTTTTAAATGACATCGATTCGATATCGATTCTCAAAAGCCACGAATCGATCTTTTCCGGGATTTATTTCAGCACATTAAAAGCATAATAGGACCCCTTTAAATGATGACAGTATTTATTAGAAAAACAAATCTAGGTAAACCAGTCAGCCTCACTAGTCAGCTAGTTGGTTGTTGGGTGACTACTTGACCATCCTGGCCCACTGGTCTTGACTCGTTTGGATAAAACTAAATTGTACATAAATGTACAGATTTCTGAACTTAAATTTAGATTTATTCAGTCCATTTTCCTTAGCACACTTATAAACTGAACATTTTTCCCAGACACTAAAAAGTTCATTCAGAGACACTTATTTCAAGTGTCTAACCTCTTGAAAAGTGATTCAGAAGAGATTTACAGTTATGATATCAAATCATGTAACAGGGTCTCGTCTTGAATGATCTCACAGTTACTCCGAAAAACGGTCTGTGCTGTCATTCAGTATTCTCTAAAGAAAGACAACTGCTCTGAAAAACATTGACTTGATTTAACGGTAACATGATTATTTCAATAATGACTGACTGCCTGATACTGTCAACAACAGGTTTTGAATCTGACTCTCCAGTCCAGCAATGTGCTGCTTTTTACAGCTCCAGTGTTTTTCATTCTTGGTCCAGTAGGAAAAACAAGGCTGTACAACATATTGAATGGACTGTACTTCCTGCCCTTTTAGTTTAGTTTGTGCCATATGCTGTTTTGTATGCCGTCTACTCTGAGTATAGCCTGATAAAGACATTAAATACCAAATTACCCAAGTGACAGGTAAATGTGCACCAAAATATAGAGTATTTGATGTTGGGATTATGGGATATAAGAGGCATTTTAGTAAAGTAAAGCCTATTTCAGTTTTTATTCGCTGATTTAACGTCTTTCCCTTTCTGTCGACCCTCTTTATCACTCCTGCATTGTTATTTCTCCAGGGGGCAGGGACAAGCGCGGCGGTCCAGTTTTAACATTCCCATCACGAACCAACCATGACCGAATACGACACGAGGATCTCCGCAGACTCATCGCCTACCTCGCCGGCATCCCTAGGTATTGACGCACTCACTGGCTTCTCAACTAGAACGAGCTCTGCCCACCAGGAGCATATGAACTCCTTTAGTATGTTTTAAAAAACATCCCAGGATGCACCTGCTGGGCATTGTTGACTGCTTTTCTTTCACTATCCGTTCAGACTCATTCCTTTAAAAAGAACAAAAGCAACTGGATTGGATCTGGCAAATTGTGCAGTGGATGTGCCAACCGTCCTGCTGCTTACCGCCATGTTGTTTTCTTTTCCTCATAGTTGGGCGCATTGATCTGTAATTGACCTGTGAACTAGAGATGCTGTGTCTCTTCATATGTGATCTTTTGTTGTGCTTATAAAAATCGAATGAGGCAGGCCAAGTCTGCACTTCAGCTCAATTCTTCTAAACGGCTCTGCCGAGCAGTCGTGCTCTATAAACATGTTTGTTTACGGAGCATGAGGGTGGTAAATCTGGTACTGTGCAGCTACAGAGTGTAGAGCACATTGTGACCTTCATGGGTGTTTCTTTAAGTGCTGGCACTTTTATCCGTTGGGTTGATTTTTATTATAACACATTTCATACATGAGCATCACATTAAAACATTTGATCACGCCTTCATTTATTTTTGATACTTTTTAAATTCCTTGTATCTATCTATTTTGTTTCAATCTTTATGCAGAGTCAGATTTTAAATCATAAAATATACAAATTTTTAGAATCTATTAATTATTAATATTTTTAATAGTTTTATTTACTATCCACTCTAATGTTGTCATAGTTATGCTTGAGATGAAATATGAGGCATGTGGTGTGTGCAGAAAATCAAGCTTTTGCATTTTTCTGTCATTTAGAAATTAAGCTGTCATTTTTTCAAATTATGCAAAGAGTTGTGAAAATATGATTTGTGTGTGTAGGATGCATAAAATGCTAGCTATGAAATTATACATGGCAAGATATAGGAATCTGCTATTTTGTTCCAAAAATGTTCAAAAGGTCATTTCCTCCACAAAACGAATGGTGAAATTATGTGATGAAAGGGACATAACAATTAACATAAATGACAATGACAATTAGCAGGCAGATAATAAAGTTGTTGAGGAAACACCCCTATAGCGTTTTGCTTCTGTTTTACCCCTTTCTCTTCTCAGAATGGATTTTATATCTGAGAGCAGCATGACTGGATGGTTTATCATCATATTTGACATACTTAATAAAACATATTCCTCAGCCAGTAATACTGCAATGAAGTTAGTCGCTCTATACTTTTAACAGGAGGGAGGGGAATAGAAAGCGAGAGATTTAGATATGAGAGAAACGCAAGAGGGGGCACGATGGGAAGAGTGGTTGGTGGGAAAGACAGCGTGGGAACAGTTCAGCAACTGCCAACAGCTCTTCCTCCTCCTCATCATCCTCACTCACAAACTCTGTCCCCTGCACCCACACAGTCACACCAGAGAAAGAGAGAGAGATCTACAGTTACAAAGCAATTCCCCTAGAGATAAAAAAGAGAAACACACAAAAAGATGGGAAGAGATGTATCATGATCAAGAGAGAGAGAGCAGCAGCAGTCGTCTTAAGAGATGGAGAGCAGGCGAGTGTGCAGGAAAAAATAGGAGGGCGAGTGAACCAGTGAGCGAGAGAGAGAGAGAGAGAGAGAGAGAGAGAGAGGGGAAAACAGTGTCGCAGTCGTACAAGGTTGTGTGTTCGTCTACAGCTCGTCATTACCGACAGCTCCTCGATTAGACACTTTCTGAAATGAAATCGGACAGGCAGATGTTTGACTGACAGCTGTGTGAGACGCGCTCTGGATTTCAGAGTAACGGACTGATGCGGTGTCACAGAGCTTTTAAGACAGGTAGAACACTGACAGATTGGATACTGAAGTCCTTCAGCTCTCTGAAAGCAGCTCATTTGATAGAAATTTGCAGCTGGGCTTAATGGGTAAGCTCTGCCATGCATCCCTCCCTCTGCTCTCTGCTGTATGTGCATTGATTTTTTTTATTTTTTTTTTTGATAAGGGTAATCATTTTTTCCCCTTATTTTTTGTTCCTCCAGTTGCATTCGTGCAGCGGTTGCTTTCGTTTTTTAGCTAGGAGGATGCACCATAGATTATGTAATGCAAAGAGGATTGAAGTTCATATTTTGTTCTCTCTCTGTTTTTCCTTGTCATCCAGCGAGGACGTGTGCAAACATGGCTGAATCAAATCGTGAAATCAAAATCGTGAATCGAATTGAATTGTGAGTTGAGTGAATCGTTACATCCCTAATAAAGACCAGTCGGGATCTGGTATGTTACAGTGACATCATCACTGACAGTTACGCGTCATGTCGGAATTACCGTAATTAAAAAAAAAAAAAACCTCTTGAGATTCTGCTCTGAGCTTCACGTCACATCCTTGGACTTGTTTCTATGGCAATGTTCATAACACCAAAAAGATCAATGTGCGGCTGCTCTGATGTGAATGACAGTAAATTCCTTACTACATCAGTTCTGCTCTATTTTCTCATGTGAAATATTGAAGAAAAAATAAAGGGCACCAGGTAATAGTGTTTGTAACAGTATATAAAACAGAAATATGAAGAGGTAGCCAAAGAACTACCTTTAACTAATGAAGCTGCTGCCATTTAAGACTCCACGACAGTCAAATGGGAGAAGTCGGAGCTTTCCAGTACAAGGAATTAGAATTTTTTGACGTAATATGAATTCAAAAAGCCTTATTCACACTGACAGTGGTTTATTCCAGTTCCTGTTGCTAGCTGGCCTATTGGTATTGTCGCGGGGTGAATGAGAACACAGACTCGGTACTGATAGAAAGAGCCCCGGAGGGTGATTTATTGCCCACACACTGATCACACGTGCTCGGAGGAATGGTGCTCGGTGCCCGTCTCAACGTGGTGCTCGTGGGGTGAAGTGCCGTGGTACAGATCCCTCTCCTGGGGTGCCGTCGGAGTCTGTGAATAAGGAGAAACAAGCATTAATGTCGCCTGGAGCTCCGGGGTGCCTTCCCGCTGGTGTCTCTTCTCCTGGCTTTTATGGCCAGCGGGAACGAGCTCCAGGTGCGCCACTCATCACGCACAGGTGTTGTGCTTCTGTGATCAGTGTGGCAGCAGCGTTTCCAGGGCGACGCTGATCTGGACTCGGGATACTCGCCACAGTATTGATGGGCTGCACATATGTGATCACAAATGGGATCTATTGCTGGTAAATCTAAGATGTCAACCAGTTTTGGACAGTAATTCCATTTTCTTTCTGATGAATACTGAACATTCTGTTTGCATGTTAACTGCATCATATAATGAACAAGCTACGCTATCTTTACTCCCATTGGTAGCTGCCGCATCACTTTACTGCTCATTTGCATAAAGGTAAAAAAGGTTTCTCAGCTTTGTTGAGTTGTTGACCAAGTGATTCACCAGCATCAGTAGCGATTGTTGTCCATAAACATCATTAACTCTCATTGAAAATGAATAATTTCCAGGTACTTTATCACTGCCTGAGTGAACTCCTCGTAAAGTCAGTGGAAATTTTCAGACTTAAATCTAAAATGCCTTAAATAATAAAAGTTTAGTAAAGTGTTGTTGTAATTAACTCATTAAAATCATTTAGTTAAATGTATAAATATAAGATGCAAAATATCATGTTGCCTCTGCAACTAACTGAAATAAAATAAGCTTAAGATTAATTGACAAGACTACATAATTTCACAAAATGGAAGTGTAAACTTAAAATATAAAAAAGCGTAATTTATTAAAAATATTAATAAATGCTATAGTATAAATGTAATAAATTAATATAATTTAAGCATTAATATAATAGATAATATTAAATAACATTGTATCAGAAAGGCTCGGAGGAAGTGAGATTTACTTTGGCCAATCACAGGTCAGCATGCTCTTGTCAGTCGCATATATTCCTCAATTTGCCCTATTTGGCCGCTTTTCTTCCCTCACAATACTGTGATATTGTGCATGAATTGCAGTGGGAGGATCAGAAGCACTCCTACCATCTGGTGGTCCATGTAAGTCCAAATAAGTGTTGAGCACAGCACATGATGAAATGTTTCTGGTGGGCAGGGTCAGGGAATTTGTCATAGGAATGGCTGCAAGCTCTCATCTCGCCCACTGCTCATGACATGCCACATTTCTCATAATTTCCGAATAACAAAATATGAGCAGAAGGCAAAAAAAGCAAATGCAGTCCATAACTCACATTATTCTCATTGCAGTTAATGGACTAATGGGCAGCGTGCTCATGTTGATGTGTGTCTGTGAAAGGCTGCAGATGCCTGTATGACAGCAGGACTTGAATTGATGAATAGGTTTAGACCGCATTTACCTTGAATTCACAAAAGAGGCGCACACCTCCGCTCTCTCCTCTTTCACGGCTTTGATGAAGCCCACTCGTGCACATTTGTTTTCTTTTTTCTGTCCTCCCATCTATTCATTTGTAGAAAGAATAACACACTATTTTTTAGTTCTCTTGGAGCACACAAACAAAATGTGGTTAAGAAATAAAGAATGGAAGAGTGGAATTTTTTGACTCTGTCTTAATTTTGAAACACACTTGTGCTCATATCAGTATTGTTAACTAAATCTAAAATCTAATCTAATCTGAAAATATTGCCGAAATAGAATGTTTAAATTGAAGTACTAATATTACTAAAATAAAGAAAAAACTAATAAAATGACAAAAGCACGTGAAAAATGACTCAAGCTTAAACTAAAATTAAAACGGTAAAAGCTAATTCAAAATATTAATAAATAATAGCTATACATAATACGAAAATAACATTCACTCAATTTCTCAAGCCTATTTCTGTGCCAGTTTTCCCAACCAGGTATGAAGTGAAAAAGTGACATGCCATAAAAGCTACCTCTTCCATGTTTATTCCAGTTTTTTCCCTAACCAGTCGTGAGACACGAATGAACATCATGGGAGTAAATGTTTTGGTTTAACTCGTTCTGTGTAATTTCTGTCTAATGATAAAATCCATGCATCTATTTTCATGAAAAATGTCTCTTTTAATATAAGACGTGCATTTCCATTCCGCTTAATGATTCCCGCGTTCACATTTTAATGTGATTTTAAACTATTTATAGGTGCATCTCAATAAATTAGAATGTCGTGGAAAAGTTCATTTATTTTGACCTGTGTCCGTTCTTGAACTGTTTCGTGCATTTCCACAAAGGTTGTTCCGGGCCAGAACTGACTTCTCTTTGTTTATTTAATTATGCCATTGCTAATTAATTTGGTTACTTGTCTTTAACGATTTAATGTTTGAAATTTATATTAGTCTAGTTGTTTTTTTCTGTGGAAGAAAGGTACTAAAATGTGTAATAATTGTTAAATATGTAAAAATGTAAACAGGGCAGTCATATTTTATCAAATATTTTTCATTAATCAATGCTAATACTGAAAAATTTTACAAACAGGCTGCTGACAGGACATTTTATAGATTTCTGCTGCATTAAGGCCCGTTCACACAAATGATGGAAGGGACAATATCATAGTATTCACTTACAGAACCATTTTATCCAGCTGACGAACAATAAAAACATTGGCAGCCAATCAGAATCCACTCGACTTCAGCAATTAATGAGGCAGATGGCGTAACTGCAGCGTGTGCTTATAATAAACAGAACATTATTGTGCAATAATGTGGACCAACGTGGAATCTCATTGGTTGAAAACAACATTGATATTAAACATCAGATATGTTCTGATTGGATATGGTTGTTATGCCACAGTTTCACTTTTAGCATGAATTTGTCGCTAGACACTTGATGCATGCTTGGAGCATAGCGAAAGCCAAAGTTGATTATTTTAACGATTTTACCAATTTGGTATGCATGCATATACTGTTGTATACAGATTACCCGAGGCTCTTTCCTGCTTCAGGTAGTTCAGAGCTGGTTTGTGTTACTGCGGTGCTGGTGGTGACGATATCACCCTTTCTGACACCCTCAGGCTTCATGCTGGGAGTCTGTCTTGTCTCTAGGTAGTTTGGACCTCAGGCGGTCCCTGAGTGCCTGTATGAAATTAGATTTATGCCCCCGGTTAAAAATAGCAGTCCCACCTCGCTGGTCATTAACGGAGCCTGGAACGGCTGCATCAATTGACGTAGGATTTAGGGCATTAGAAGTCATATTGTGCATTCTAGTACTGTGCATATTGATTAATTTTCATATTCCACCCACATCCTTTCTCTCTACCCTTACTGTCCTTTTCTGGTTCCTTCCATTCCTCCATCACACCCACCTTCAGACCACCATGGTTTCCCTGGAGGGCTTATCTAAGGTGGTGGACCCATCCCAGTTGACGCCCGACTTCGAGGGCAGCCTGGACTACAACCACGAAGAGTGGATTGAGATCCGCGTGGCCTTCGAAGACTTCACAGGCAACGGTCGGCACCTGCTCGCCCGTCTGGAGGAGATGCAAGAAACGGTCACACGTAAAGACTTCCCGCAGGACTTAGAGGGAGCCCGGCGCATGATAGAGGAGCACGCAGCCCTGAAGAAGAGGGTGATGAAGGCTCCTGTGGAGGAGGTGGACAGTGAGGGCCAGAGGCTGCTGCAAAGGATTCAAAGCAGCGAGAGCTACACTAACCGAACTGTGCCAGTCCCGCCAGGGCAGAGGGAAGGACAGGGACAACCCAACGCTGACACCCAGGGCCTGGTGCCCCGTATTTCAGCCCTACTGGAAAAACTGCACAGCACCAGGCAGAACCTGCATCAGGCCTGGCACGTCCGCAAGCTGCAGTTGGACCAGTGCTTCCAACTCAGGCTTTTCGAGCAGGATGCTGAAAAGGTGAGATCCACACATGCATACCTGTATAGACGCAAAACTTTTTATATAGAGGTAAATCCATACACAGGAATTACTTTGTTGATGAATAACTTTTCTTTTCTTTTCTATTTTCTTTTCTATTTTCTTTTATTCAATTTTTTCTTTTCTTTTTTATTTCGTTTTCTTTTTTATATTTTATTTTATTCCGTTTTATTATTATTATTATTATTATTATTTTCATTGATTTTATTTTATTTTTTTATTTCATTTTATTTTATTTAGTATTTTATTTATTTATTTTATTTTGGGATTTGGTCAAGTGGAAATTTGATGTTATGCAGCAAGTTGATAAAGCTAACTTGTGTAGAGTGCAGAATATGCTTTAAATCAGTGGTTCTTAACCTTAAAGGTT